ATATAAGAGATAGAGATTGGTGAAAACAATTATAATAATCATACAATACAAATACAAATATATATATATATATATATTAATTAATTAATTAATTAATAATTAATAATTAATAATAATAATCATCGTAATAGTAGTAAAAAAAAAGTGTATATAATTGTATTTGTTTATAATCAGAATCATGCAATGGATAAATGTATACAATATACTTATTTAGAGGGTGTATTTTCGTTAAAATTAATGAAAAACGGTATCGTCTCCACAAATCGTCTATCATCTAATCGTTTATCAATTATCGTTTTGTCATCAGTAATCAGTAATCAGCGCATCGGTCGCCGCATCTCTATATATTACATACAATCAGTTATCAACGGTTCGATCATCTTTCGATCTTTCATCTTTAATCGCTATAATTATTGGTAATCATTTTTATTAATATTACTCGTACTCATAGTTGTTACGATGATTTCTCTTTTCTTTTCTTTTCTTTTATTTTGTTGTTGTTTCTGTTTTTTGTGTGTTGTCGTGTTAGAACTAGTTTTTACTAAGGCTTGGTTTACACGTGACTTAACTAGGCTTAAACGCTCCTCCTTAAAGCACTCATCCGTCCATAGAGCACACTTCCTGCTTCCTGCTTTTGCTTTGTTTTTTTTTGTTAGGTTTCCCTTTTCTTTTTCTTTTTTTTCGATATTACATTTTTGTATGCATAATAATATAAACGCTGTTCTCTAGCAAAGTGTCCATCCGTCCGTCCATTTCCATGTTCTAATCATGATACTGAGGCCTCGTTTCCATCCCATTAGAATGAGACACTCTCCTCATCTCATTCTCACATACCTCTACACATATGTATATAATTTACAATCGTTGATTCTTAACTAATTCCTTGTCAAATAAGGGTTGCATGCGTTGGTGTGTGTGTGTGTGTGTGTGTGTTGTGTGTTTGTGTGTGATCGTATATACTATATATATATAACTATGTATGTATGTATGTGTGTGTGTGTATGTGTGTATATAGATTTGTATTTATATAGCGTTTGTGTAGACTAAGGCTCTTAGGGGGCTAGGGGCTAACTCCCGATTCGCGTAATGCTTAATGCGTTTTGTGGTTGCTCTCTATTTCTGTTCATATATAATTGTAATCACAAATAGTTTTGGAATATGCTCTCGCTCTCTCGCTATCTCTTACTACCTCTCCTCCTCGTTCATCTCATCTCATCTTCTCCTTCCTCTACATCGCTTGCCATAAATTAAACGAATAGAACATAAATATTTCACACTCTTCCACTTACTGTCCCATGCTTTGTTCATCGCTGCTGACTGTACTTAAAACGTATAACGGTTTACACAAAAATTAAAACACATAATAAAAACAGAAACTGCAAGCTTTCTCTCCTCTCTCTCTCTCCTTCCCTTTTTGTGTGTTGATGTTGTTTATTTTTCTGGCTGCTTCTTCTGCTGCTCCGCTGCGCCCGCGCACTGTGCGGCACCGTCAAGCGTCCACGTCCACCACGCGGCGACTGCGCGTGAAGGCAGCGTCATGTTACGGTTTCGTTATCGTAATCGTTACGTTATCGATTGTTCCATACATTAAAAGTACAAAGGCATACGGCGGCAGAGCCCTGTGACTTGAGTATGTTTAAGTATTTTTTGTTTTTGTTTTTGTTTTGTTTTTCCTTATACTTTTTTTTCGTTTTTTGCTTAATCGTTTTTTTGTTTTTTTTTTTTTTTTTTGTTTTCTCTTATTTCTTAATCGTTTTTTTTGTTTTTTCTTTTTACACATATATTAATATATTTACTTTAACAATTAACTTGTTGGTTTTTTTTGGTGTCTGTTTTTTGATTGTGTGCAGCGCAGCGCGGGTTCGCATTCAGTTGGATGATCATCTACATATCACTCGGATCTGATCTGTGTGTGTGTGTGTGTGTGTGTTTTGTATTGATTCTTCATCTTTCATCTGATTCTGATTCTGATTCTGTGTCTGATTCTTGACTTGACGGCAGTGGCAGTGGGGCGCAGGAAGCGCAGGACATCTCCATCTACACTCCTCCTCCTCCTTCTTCTTCTCGTTTGTTTCTATGTTTCTATATGTATATATTGTTTTTGTAATTTGCTGTTACTACGCGCGGGTCCGTCTACTACGTGGTTTAGTTTTAAAAAACACACACAAACTAACTAAAATATATACTATATGTGTATATAGTAGATGTATGTGTATATGTTGCGATATATATGTATATATATAAATCTGTATGTATAAACGCTTTCATGTAGATCTATTCCCTTATATCATATATCGTATCATAATGCGTTTCCTCTTACACACTAGGGGCAAATGGATTTCTTACAAACGGATTTTTCTGCTTATGTGTGTGTGCCGCTCCACGCTATCGCGGGGGGGTCGGGCCACCAACTAGGATAACTATCGAACTACATATGTAGTAAATATATATATATATATATATGTATGTATATATATCTTGTATATAATGTAATGTATATATTTACAATTAAAGGTTAATGTGTTACTTGCTCGTGACGCAATTTGAAGGCATTTGTTATGCGCAGTTTAAGATTTGATGTACTATAATGCTAGTATTTATAATGTACAAAACTCTCTCCAAACCTACTCCATCTTGCGCTCTCTTACTCCCCTCTCCCTCTCTCTCTATATATATTCGCTTTCGCTTTCCCTTTCTGTCTCTCCTCCTAGTGTACGTACTTTCTATCTGTCGAGTAGTAGTTGTAGTTGTAGTCTTGGGCGGCGGCAACTGCTGTACAAATAAAGAAAAAATACATTTTGAAAACGAAAACGAGGAGCGCACGCACACTGCACTTCCTCCTTGCTCCTTGCTCCTTCTAACACACTCTTCTAACAGTACAAAAACATTTAAAATCTATTCTAGAAAGAACCCGTCATCCGGTTTCATCGTTTGTTGTTGACGATCTGCTTGGCCTCCTCCTGGTCATATGCATATACATATGTTTGTTGTATATGTAGTCTATGTATATACCCGATGGCTTATCCTACGTTTTCTAGCATTAATAAATAGCATTCTCCATGTTGTGTATATCGCATTGTATCGGTATTGGAAACTTGTATTGGGATTCCGTTTAAACACTTTTCTTCTCTTCTACTTTCTACTCCTCCTTTGCTCTGCTCTGTTCTGTTCTTCTCTGTTCGTTTGAGACATCCTGTTGTTTTGTTTGCGGGGAGCTAGACTGTGTTGATCTCTGCTGGCTCCCCCCTCTCCATATTGGCTATCACAAAATCAAATACTAAGTTAAAGATCCTTAAAGTATTCTCTGTCGCATCCACACACCCACTGGCACGCGCACATTCGTTCGCTGTTTGCTTAAGACTATATGTAAATTTTGGATTGGGATTGGGTGGGTGGGTTTTGGAACACACACTTGGGGACAAATCACAAAGTGGGGGGAACCGCAAGCGGAACCCCACTCGTACACACAAAAGACAAGACACAAACACAACATGCAACACACACACGAACATCGATTACGCTTACAAAAAAAATATGAACAAAAAAAATCAAGAACAATTCGTATGAAACAATTCTATTACAAGCTACGAACGTGGTTTTCCCTTGACTTTTTGTTTTGTTTTTGCTTTTGTTTTCGTTTCCCTATATCCTAAGTATCAAAGTATATATATATATTTGAAGTACTCTAACGGTTTACAAAGCATTGTATTCTATTGCTATTTTGTTGCACATGTTTTGTAATGTTCATGTTCATCCTGATTAATCCTCTCCTATCCATCGTCATCGTCTTCGTCCTCCTTCTGTAACATCATCGATTGTTTGTTTGTTTGGTGTCTTCGATTTCATTCATTTGTAACTTTTGTATATTTTATTTTTAATTTAATTTAATTTAATTAAGGTTTTATGTGGCATTGTTTTTACTCATCCTGATTCTGATTTGTTACCCCAGCCCAGCCCTACCACACACACCACAAGCCACACCATACCATCATCGTCCTTCCCCTCCCGAACAGGTGGGTGGCTGGATGGCTGGTGTCTGGCACAAGTGGTGCTCCTCCTGCTGTCGCATGTTTATTGCTGTCGCTTCCTGTGACTGAGGTCTGGATCTCTATTCTATTCTATGCTCAAATATCAATTAACTTGGGGAGGTTTCTTTCTTGATGAGGTTGGAGCCTGGCCTGGGGTGATTGTTGTTTCTTGTTTTTTTGTTTTTTTTTTACGTTGGTTAATTCACTTTAGTTTTAGTTCTAGTTTTAAGTTAATTTGATTCTCGATTCGATTGGTATAAAAATATGTATTGTATGTATTCTACTCTATTCGCTTATGATGTTCTGTTCCCAAATTGGAAGCTCCTATAAGGAGCACGTTTTATAATAACTGCCTATGCCACCTGATCTAATACATCGATCGATCGCCAACAAAACACACAGTTTCCGATGCACATTATGGTATTTGGATGCTTATGTTTGGGTGATTCTGATTCTATCTGATAGTCGCCTGATTCAAATGGTTTAGTGTGGCTCAATTGCTTAATAATAATCATCTACTACTTGTCATCCGTTATTTCCATCTCTCTCTCGCTATATATATATATAATATACTATACTATATTGTATGTAGGTACAAAAAAAAACTAAACACTTTTCTTTATCGAATATTCTGAATTTCAATTAAATTTATGATTGCGCAGGATTAATTTCATATTTCACATTGCAGATGGCTTTTGGCTTTTGCATTGTTCAAATTAATATTGTGTACCGTTTAATAAATCATTAAATTCTTCGTTTCTTTTCTGTAACTGTGAACTGTAAATTTTCTTTTTGCTTTTCTCTTTTTTCGGGGTATAAAAATGCTCTTAAATTTTAAGTCTACTAAGGGAAGGGCTCGGGGGTTAAACGTTAGACGTTTTGGGGATTTACATCATCGATTGTGGTATTCTGCATTCTTCAATTTTCATTCTTTTGCTTTTAATGTTGCTGTTGCAAGTATTGCTCTTGCTGTTAACTGTTGCAAATGAGGTTGCTGAAACATTGCTCTTGCTCTCTTTCTTTCTCTCTCTCTCTTGCTCTTTCTCTCTCTCTCTCTCTCTCTCTGTTCGCTCTTTCATTCATGAATGACATAGATATAGACATGCATGTGTGTGTGTGTCTCTGTGGTGTCTGATTTGGGGTCTGTCTGTTGCTGTTGTGTGCATATTTTTTTGGGGGGGCGCAGAAGGGGAAATATATAAGAAGAAATTTTGCATTTGTGTGTGTGTGTATGTGCATGTATAAATATATATATATATGTATGTAAAAGGGGTACTAGTGCCATAGGTATAACGTATGATCTATGTAAACGTAAACGTAGTAGTAGTTATTACACTATCAAAAAAAAAAAAAGTTCGTAATCGAAATTAGTAATCGATAATTTCTAATCATAGCTGTAATAATCGTAACTGTAATCGTAATCAATGCATTTGCGTTTGCTTTTTGTTCAAATGTTGTCCTAAGCCTAAGCATAATCCGTGTGTGGAGCGTGTGGAGGTGTACGAAATCCCCCCCAACATCCACCAACAGCAGCCAAACAGCAGCATTTGCATCGCCTGTCCCCTTACTCCCCTCACTTCTCAACACTCTGCTGCCCCTTTCCGCCTGCTATACATCGAGAGTAGAATGAATTGATGGACTGCTACTGCTGCTGCTACTGGCTGCTGCTGCTGGTTGCTGTGGCCTGTGGGACGCATCTTAAAACTAAAGTACATGATAATTGTGATAGTGTGGAGTGATCGGATCGCTCAACCAATCGATACGGAAGAGTAAAATTTTTATAAAAGATTTAACAATACGATTAACACACGGTGTGATCCCTGGGTCTCTGGTTTCTGCTGGTCTCCTTTCGTTGTCGTTGTCGCTGTCGCTGTCTGTTGGCTACCTCTACGATCAGAAGTAGTGCGGCGATTGTCCGTTGTAGCGATAGTTGACAATGTCATTGCCGATATTCGTGATGTTCGTGATGTTGCTGATATTTCCCATGTTACTACTGTTGATGTGGCCACCAATGTTGTTGTTGTTGCTGCTGATGGAGTGGCCAATGTTGCTGCTGCACTAGAGCCGCTCCACAAATTTCGTTAGCTGATCGGAGGCATCGGGCAGGGCTCCTCCGGCATTGCCGACATTTACGTTGCCAACATTAACGCCCACACCGACGCCAACGCCTACGCCCACACCGACGCCAACGTCCTGGGGTACACCGGGGAGCGGCGACTGGTGGTGCATCCCGTGGTTGTGCATGCCGTCGTGTGGGCCCTGTGGCGCTGGCGAGTGGCTCATGACGTGGTGGGGCGAAGGCTGGGCCCGCGGCGAGGCTGATGGCGCGGCACGCGGCGAGGGCGCTGAGCGGGGTGATGGCGTCGGTTGCGGCGAACGGATGGGCGGAGAGGAGCGCGCTGACTGCATTAGCTGCTGCTGGAGGGAGTGCGGCGTGGGAGGGCCCATCACCTGGGAGCCGGGACCACCTCCGGGACCAACAACAGCCGGATTCTGCTGCGCATTCTGGGCAATCGGCATCGATACCTGCTGCATCATCTGCTGCTGGAGGGGCTGCTGCTGCTGTTGTTGCTGTTGCTGCATACCCGGCGGCAACACGCCCATCTGCTGCTGTTGCTGATGCTGCTGCTGGCCGGGACCGGGCTTCACGCCCACTCCGACGCCGACTCCTACTCCGACACCGGCTCCGCCTTGGCCCTGCTGCAGGATGTTGGATGCTGCCGCCGCCACTGCCGCATTCGCCATGGAATACTGATCCGCTCCGGGGCCAGCTGCACCTCCGCCGCCGCCCCCAGCCACACCGCCAGGCACTCCCACCGCACCTGCCCCGCCGCCAGCATTAAAGTTGCCTGCTCCGCCGCCCGGGAACTGCTGCTGCTGCTGGCCCACCGCTCCACCCATATGCGGGCCGCGCTGCCTTTGTGGATACGGAGGTGGATATTGGTTCATTTGCACGTAGCGCATTTTGTTCCAGCTCTGGTTGGGCACCTAAAGTGGGGTACAAATATGTGATTACTCGATCTTATTTGGGTTAAAAACGTACACATAGAAAAGCACAGGCACACAGACGAAAGCACAATAGCTACGGATACAACCGGATACAGACCGGAATAATACCCGATACTCAGAAGCATTTAAAAGGGGGATATGTACATATCTACGGGATGGTTTGGACATGCAGACAAACAGATGGATTTATGTATTTATGGGGGAAACATGTGTGATTTAAGGATAGAAAATTGAAATCTCAAGTATCGGGTATTATCCATCGTCTGGTATTATTATTCGAACTACTGTTCAGCCAACATTCTACGATTTGAGGGGATATTTCGCCCCTGCAGAAGGTATTCTTAGTCTCGGAGAAGTTCTGGGCCATGAGGGGTACGGGGATACTCTTCTGCAAGGGCGTTAATCCTTCTCACAGCATGCAAAGCCACACAAAATCAACATCAAATTCTAATTTAAATGCGCTAATGTTAAATAATAGAAATAAAAATATAATTATGCCTCTGCTCCTGCTCATCTTCCTCTCTCAGGCCGTTACTCTCTCAGCACGTCGAAATGAAAAACCAACCACCATCAAACGAAGATACGATGACAACGACGTTGAAGAATTTTTGAAAATGTTTTTTTGCCATCTCCCAGGGATTTTTGATCTTGAAATTTGACTCCGTAAATTTGGATCTGGATACTTTTTGCATTGCGTTTCGGTATTGAATTTTGATTTATGAATTGGTTGAAATGTTTTAGCGTTTCGTTGCTGTCGTGTTTGATTTAGTTTTGTGTTCTACAGTGTTGTCTGAATAGTTTTAAGCGTTTTTAGGACGTGTTGTGGAACGTTTTTTTTTTTTTTTTTTCTTTGTTTGTACCCGCCATGTCGCTCTAGCGGGGGTTTTCCTGGTCTTGTGTATTGCCACCATATCTGGCCGTGTAAACTCTGAATGCTTGTGTCATAGAATATCTGTGTGGGTGGATGTGGGTGTGCGGTGGGTGTGTGTGTGTGGGAATTACATTGAATAACATAATGAATATTAAATGTACAAAATAAGTACACTGACGAGCAAAACTGTAACACTAATTCAGTACTCTCCCTTCAACGATCTGATTCATTTAACTTTGAAAAGTTTAAAGTTATTTGATACGCCGGAAGAAATATGCCATACCAAAATGTAAATAAAGTCAAATGTTACAGCATTGCACTGCGGCTATATTTAAGGAAAATATTTGTATTAATGGTGATGGTGACTTTAAGTTGGTTTGGTGACTGGTGACTGGATTGTGGGATAAGTTTATATGGTTCAGATAAAACAAAAATTAATCGTTTTGAGTCAGACACTCCTGGTATTGAACTAGAGACCTTACTATCCAGTTCCCAGGTACTGTGCGGCACGGCAAACCGTCAAATTAAAATTTTCAAAAACCTACTTAAAACAGAAAACAAGATACAGATCGTTGGAGTGAGAGTACCGAATTAGTGTTACAGTTTTGCTCGTCAGTGTATGAAAGGGGTTTAAATTAAATATAGCATATGAAGGTATTATTGTATACGTTTTGGTATGTTGTGCGTGCAAATGTTGTATTTTAATTGGATAAATAAATCAAATAGTATTTTCTGATACAAGAAAATTAGCAAAGAAAAAATCTTTTGTGTATTTGAATTTATTTTATTTTTAGTTTAATATTGCTTTGATTTCAGGCTTTGCCTTTGCATTTTTGACTTCTGTTTCTGGGGATTTCTGGGTTCTGGGTATTCTGGTTCTCTGGTAGAGAACAATAATTGTAGTTGTAGTTGGATGGGTTCAAGTTTTAATTGTCTTTGGCTATAAATTCCAGCAGTATGTTCTTCTCATTCCCTTTAAGACCTTCAAGCCCATACTGCCTATAGACGTACATTTCCATGGCAAAGAGTATCTCAAATACATACACATTCGAAATATTAATCTGCTCATCAGGTATCAGTGGGGGGGCAGGATAACAGGGTGGGTAGTGGGGGTTAGACATGCACAGTAACAGTAAAAGTAGCAGTAGAAAACCATAAGCCACAACAATATTAAAACAATAAAAAAGACATACGTAATTCTATTCGGTAGAAAATCTGGAATGGCTTCCGCCACTTACCATTCCACCCTGTGAGGTGACGCCTGGTGGCAGATTCTGGATCATCATTTGGGCAGAGCTCTGCTGCATATTGGGCATACGCTGGTGGGGACCTCCCGGTCCACCCGGCTGCATCAGATTCACCTGCTGCTGTTGCTGCTGGTTGGGATTCATCTGCTGCTGGGGTCCACCCGCCTGCTGCTGCTGCTGTTGCTGGTTCATCATGTGTTGCATCTGCTGCTGCTGCTGCATGACCTGCTGCTGCTGTTGCTGCTGTTGTTGCTGCTGCTGCTGCTGAGGATTCTGGGGTCCATTGCCCGCTTGGAGGCCACCGCCGGGTGCACCACCGCCCACGGCAGCGGCATTGATCTGCGTCTGCTGGCGCTGCTTGATGATGGCAGCCATGATCTGTGGATTCTGCTTGAGGATGGTGAGAATGTGCTGGTTGCTCTCGTTGGTGGGGTTGTTCTTGATCTTCTGCATTATCTGGGCCAGCTGATGGGTGTTCAGGCCGCCGGCTGCCTGGCCGCCGCCTCCTCCAGGCGGTGGGCGCACGCCTCCGGCACCGGCCGCGCCCATTGGTGTGCCCATGCCGCCCATCCCCATGCCATGCTGTCCGCCCACCGGCATCTGTCCGCCGCCGCCGACCACTCCGCCGCCCATCTGGTTGGGCAGCATCATCTGCTGCTGCTGTTGCTGCTGCTGCTGTTGCTGCAGAACGTTCTGCTGCTGCATCATTTGGTTCGGCTGGCGCATTCCCGTGGCATTGTTGACGTACCGCGGCTGGGGCACTCCCGCACCGCCACCGCCGGAGCCCCATTGGTCCATGGAGAGCAGGTTGTTGGCATTCAAGACGTTGCCGCAGTTGCCGGCCCCAGGCACCGGTCCCGACGGGTTGCCACCACCGCCGCCGATGCCAGGTCCCAGCTGATTCACATTGACTCCAACGCCTCCAACACCGACTCCTCCGACGCCCACTCCACCGACCATGCCCACTCCCAGCTGATTCACATTCTGATTGGGCACTCCTCCGACGCCTCCAACTCCACCGACGAGGGTGCGGTTCATGACGGGCGGGGCCATCGGGACGCCCTTGCCAAAGTTACCGCCATGCGGCACTTGCTGGCGTGCGGCCTCCTCCTGCACCTGCTTCACCACCTGTAGGACATTCGGCGACGGCGGGTGTCCGCCCCCGGGCTTCATTCCGATGCCCGGCTGATGGGGATGCGGCGAGGTCATGCCGCCCATTCCGCTGCCAGACACTGGCGAAGGCACTGGCACGGCGGACGGTGAATGTCCGCCCACTCCTGGCAGCAGCACTGCAGACTGGCCGCCAGGCATCACATTGGCCATGCCCACAACGGGCACCCCACCAGCTACGACTGTCGGCCCGCTAACCGCCGGTCCGGGCAGTGCCGAAGGAGCGGCTGTCCGCGACATGAGGGCCACACGACGACGCAGTAGCTGCTGTTGTTGGAGTCTGATGGAAAGAGATTGCAGATTAGAGATTGCAGATGGAAGGATGAGAATGAGGCGCAGATTGGATTGGATACTCACTTCTGTTGGAGCTGCTGCTGCTTCAGCTTGTGCTTGATGTTCGGACAGAAGGGCACGGGACACTTCTGCTCCTGGCAGTGCTTCGCATGGTAGCAGCAAAGGGCGATCAGCTGCTTGCAGATGGGACAGCCGCCGTTCGTCTTTCGCTTGCAGTTCTTGGTATGCTGGACGACGCGTTTCATCTTCTGGCACGAGGGCAGGCGGCAGTTGGCGTCGCGGCACTGGCAGGCGTGCACCAGAGACTGGATGCAACGCTGGATGGACTGTTTGCGCGCCTCCTGAGGATTGGCCTGCTTGTGATCCGCCGGTGCAGAGCCATCGTCGATGTCGAAGCCGAGCTTCTCCATTTTATGGGGATGCCCGACCTTCTCCTTGCACACAATGCACAGATCAAAGTCCTGCAAAATGGTCAAATGAGACACGGATAAGGATTAGCGATTGGATCTTCTTGTATTTGTTAGGAGATGGGTTGGTTGCTTGACTTACATCACAGACAGTGCAATGATAGCGCGTCTCGACGGCCGTCTTGCAGTTGTTGCACGTGTACACGAACTTGTCCTGGCCCTGATTGTGCAGCTCGTACAACATGGATAGCGTTGAGAATTGGGCTCGCCGCAGCGACGAGAACTCAAAGTGCTTGTCGCGGGCCAGCGTGAGGAATGCATCGCGTCCGTCCATCAGATCGCAGGTAAGCAAAGGATCGGGGTCTTGAATGGGCTGTAAGATCAAAACAATTATAGTTACTGGATGGATCCTTCTGCTTGTGACTCAAGACTCAAGACACTCACCGCTAAACTGGCAGCAGACTGTGCCGAGTGCAGGCGTATCACGAAAAAGACTTCCTTGTGCTTCTCCATCGTGGCATAGATCTTCGCAGAGAGATCATTCCCCGACTGATGCTCGTTGGACTTCTTGCTGTTCTTCCGCTGGGCGGCCTTCGACTTGTTGGACTTCTTGGCTTTCTTCTGGCCCTTCTTCTTACCATCGCCACTCACCTCGTTGTCCTCGATGGAGAAGAGCTGGGCCAACGATGAAAAAAGAAATATATTAGAGGGTGGGAAAACGGAAGTTAAGAAGTGATGAACACCTCGGAATATCGGCTTACATTCGCCGCTGCAGCTGCCTCGGCGGCCTCTGCCTGCTTGCGCTTCTCCTCTTCCTCTTGGTCGAGCTCCTTGATGCTCTCCTCGAGGACATTCGGCCAGAAGTCGCCCTCGAAGTAGGGCAGCTCGGCGGCGGAGCCAAGCTTGTCCTCCATTGCCTGCTTGAGTATGTCCTTATAGTCCTGGATGATGCGCTCGATCATGCCCTTGTCGAGCATCTTCTTGTACCACTCCTGCAGCCGCTTCGGCTTTGGTATCTTCTGGTCCGTCGGATGGCAGTGGAAGATGTAGTCGTCACCCTCCGAGGGCGGACACGCCCAAATGTGGGCCATCGTGTAGCCCAGCTGCTTCACGTAGTCCATGTAACCGAGCAGGATTTCGTGGTAGACCGCAGTGCGGTACTGGCGCGGCCGGAAGAAGTGCACCGAGTCGAGGTAGGCGATGTAGACGCGGCGCGTGTTGGGCGCCGGGCACTCGGAGCCGTACTCCTGCACATGCATGCCGAAGAAGCAGACATCAATGCCGTCCACCTCTTCGAAGGCGAACAGGGCCTTCGCCCGGTAGGGGAACTCGTTCATCATGTCCCCGCCCTCAACGAAGCGACGCCGCATGCCCGGCTTCACCTCCACGCACTTCTCCGAGGAGCTGACGACGCGTATGTGCACCTCGCCGGCACCGGCCTCCTTCTTCTTGAGGAAGTTATTCACGCGCGTCTCGATGTAGACGCCGAGCTTGGTGGTGGGCAGGCGCTTGGCATTGAATTTGTTCTCCTTCCGCTTCGAGTTCTTCTTCTTAAGGCAATTGTCGCAGACAAAGCCGCCGGGCCAGATGGAGTCCAGCCAGAGGACACAGATCTGATGCTGCTTGCGGCCGCATTCCTGGCAGTCCACAAAAGGTTCCAGCTCCAGGTGATCGTTTTTCATCTCCTTGAATTGGTCCTTTTTGATTTGTCTACAGAGGAGGATACGGAAGGAGAGATTCGATTAGAGATCAGCGATAAGGATAAAAAGTAAATACTTACGTTTGGGACTGCAACGGATCGTCACCCAGTGTGACCGTGTCCCCCTGGATGTCATTAAAGCACTTTTGGCAGAAGGTGTATCTATTGGAGGCGACACCGTATTCCTTTAGACTGTTTGTTTGATTGTTTGGGTTTTGTTTTGTTTTGTTTTTGTTTACGAAGATTGATTTAGTTTTGTTGTTGGATGCGATGTACGAGAGAGTTTTGAAGATGGCAGCCAAAAATAACAATAACAACAACACAACGAACAAACGAACGAGCGCAGACGAGTGGCGAGTGTTGGTAAGTGTTGGCAGGTTTACAGGTTGGTTGGTTGGTCGATGAGCAGTGTTGTCAAGTGTTGGCAGGTTGCAGATGGTTTTGGTGGGTGGGTACGAGCGAGACGGTCATCGTCATCATCATCATATGCGTGTGTGTGTGTTTGTGAGTGCATTTTGGAGAGGAGTGCGTGCGCGGGTGGTGTGTTGTGTGCGTGAGAGAAAGAGAGTGGAATGGTTGTGTGGCGATCGGTTCGGTGTTTTTGTTTTTTGTTGTTTTATTTTGTTTTGTTTTGTTTCATTTTGTTAATTAATTAATGGTTACGGCACACGAATACACACAGAAACAGAGGCACAGTTAATGGATAATACACGTATTATTATATATGGATAAAGAGACGGACGACACGTAACACAGAGACACAAATGCAGACACAGACACAGATATGCCCAAATATATGCACATTTATGAGGCGCAACACAGTTTAACGGGAATTGTTTATGGTTTTTGTTGTTTGTTTTGGTTTTTGGCGGGAGAAAGAAACACAACACACACACACAGGTGGTAGGGGGATTTAATGGTAAAGAACGCAAGAAAGAAAGAAAGAAAGGAAGAGAAACGAAAAGTGTTAGGTAATTTGCATTAAAATTTGTTTACACACAATTATTACAACAATTAGAAACGGTGGGCAAAAGGAGGGGCAAGGGGGCAAGGAATGGACGGATGGGGCCGAAGGGAACGAAAAGGCTTCATGAAAGGACCCTTGAAGGACATTCCTGCATCGATTACAAAATCTAGAGGGGGGAATATCTATTCCGAAATATTCTACGGGAGATCTTTTCATATTTTTGTTAAGTTTTCGCTCTTTCCCTTTGAATGTTGAATTTTATTAAAGATAATTTATGGCCATACTATCGATAAGTGTTATTTTTATTCGGGACGGGGGAAATTGCTTGTTATTGGACACACGGAAAGCAGAAGCAGCAGCGGCAGCAGCAGCTGGGTGGCAGTGTAGCTCTGAGGCGGAGGAAAAGGAGTATCTCGACATTTTAGCAGGTAATCATCAATGCTTTAAGCACAGCGGACCATTTTAGAAGCACTACAGATAAACACGTGGGATACACGAGTATAGTAATATACGTGACGTCGATGGTCCTTTGGGAAACAGATGTGTGGAGGTGGAGGAGGTAGAGGAGGAGGAGGAGACAGGAACCACATCGTGGAGGAGCACATACCTGTTTTGGTAGCTATAGTACTTGGCGTCGCGCGGTATCGTGCACAGCTGCTTGCCATAGCAGCACAGCACTTGCGGATTGAACGTGTATTTCCTGCCGCAGCAATAGCCCAGGGCCTGCATCACCGGATCGATCTCAGCCTCGAACACCTCCGAAAGCTAAACGAAGGAAAGGGGCGAGACGGAGAGAGAGAGAGAGAGTTAGCATCGATTTGGCAGTAGCAATTCCAAATGCTATACGTTACCTTGGTACAGTAGCGATAGACGCGTGAGGTCTTCCGATTGTAGAGCCACGCATTGTCGAACATCAACCAGACATCGTCCACGTACTCCCACGGATCGCTGTACTTCCCGTTCTGGATATTGTTCCGTATCGTGCCCAGATCCATTGGCTTCTTGACGATCTCAAAGTAGTCGGGTATGCCCAGCGCCTGCGGATCCACCGGATACCGAAACGGCACCGATTCCGGCTCCTGGCGGAACAATTTCTCCAACGTGGGCAGCAATGCGGTGCGCAGCTCCTCCGGATTGAATTCTGCAATCGAATTTGTACAAGAATTAATAATTTCGTTCTTTATTTGCGATTCAAATTAAGGCAGGGACATTCTGGCTCTGGCTGGATTTGGAATGCTTCATACGATAACGAAAGTAAATAATTGGAAAAGCTGCTGCTGGTTTCTCAGCGAGACGTGCGTGGGTTCTCATTGCTAAAGCAACACTGATCCCTCTAGGATGGGGATCTGTGGCGAAATAGAACGAGGCCGAGAGGGAGCACAAATGCCGGCACAGGGCACTCTGTCTGTGTTTATGCCAGTCAATAGACAGATAGCGGTTGGCTGTATCAAGTGTCGCTTTGCGAGAGCGCACATTTGCTGCAGAGTTCGCACTTTCTGGGATGCGATTTTCGGCAATCAGAGCAACGGGTGGGGGGGAAACTCACTTGAATGTAAACAAATTATTTATGCACTTTCCCCACTAAAGCTACTTGCGTTCAGCGCAGAGACTGCGAGAGTTATGTACGTAATGAGAATGTGCTCAAATGGGATTGATATCAAGGATATGAAGAGTATTAAGAGAACGAAGAGAGCGACGAAGAGTGTAAGCTGTGCCGTCAGCTATCTTTGATTATCTTTTGTCTTCGCATCTCTGCAGGGAATATGTAGCCCAAAAAGTAAAGAATATTCAGACCAGCGCTGGAACACAGCAGCCAATAAAATAAATAAATATGTAAATGTGTGTGTGGGGGGTTGCCTAAGGGGACGTTTCTCTTTATAACTTACGGCATTTCTTCTTCTTGTCGCCAGCATTGAGGGCCAGTGGTTCGGGCACCAATGGCTTCGGCTCTATCTTGGGCTTGATGTCCATGCCTCCAGAGACGCCATCGTGGGCACCATTGATGTCATCCTTGCCACCACCGCCGCCGCCTTCGTGTGTGGCCGACGAGGCACTTTCATCGACATCCATGGGCTCGGTCTTGATCTTAACATCGCCATCGCCGTCGGCGTCCTCCGATTTGATCTCCATTTTGATCATGCTGGTGCCATCGTTGTTGACATTCTTGCCCTTGCCGCCCGTGGAGCAGTCCATCTGGGAGCTGTCGTTGTTGCCGCCGCAGCTGTCGTCCATGAACTCCTTCTTGATCTCGTCCTCCTGCTTGATGGAGTCCAGCTTGCCCTTGGAGGCCTTGCCACCGCCACCGCTGCCGTTCGTGTCGTTTGTGGGCGATGGGGTGTCGTCGTCGTTATCACGCGCCGCTGCCTCCAGGGCGGCCATTTGGGAGGAGAGGCTGCTCGAGCTGCTCATCATGCGGCTCGGCTGCTGTTGGTTGCTGTTGCCCCCAGAGGAGGTCGTCGCACCGCCGCTGCCCTCGCCACGTGCAGACATCAGCATGTGGGGATTGCTGTTGGGCGCCGAAAGGGAGCCACCGCTGCCCGGTCCGCTCGATGCAATCGTTGCCGTCGCCGACGAGGAGGAGTTACAGCTGAGCGGCGTCGTTGCGGATGTTGTCGTGGTCGTTGTGGTGGCCATAACACCACCGACTCCTCCCACACTGCCGCTCCCACTGCCACTGCCACTCCCACTGCCGCTGCCGCAGTTGCTGCCGTTGCTGTTGCTGCCGTTGCTGTTGCTCCCGTTGCTGCCGTTGCTATTGCTGTTACTGTTGCTGCTGGCGCACGTGGCCGCCGCCGAGGTGGGGGCACTGTTCGTCGCCAGGCCAGAGGCACTGGTGGCCGGCACAGGAGAGGCCGGTACGTAGGGCGGAGTGTTGGCGCGGTTGCTCATCGGCTGCATCAGGCTGTTCACCGACGGAGGATTGATGATGCTGTTGCTGTTGTTGGAGGGAGTCCCAACGGGGCCATTCGAGAGGAATCCTCCACCTCCGGGCGAGGGACTGGGCGCTGAAACCGTCATTCCCCCCGCACTCGAGGGGTACTCCTCCTCCTCCACCTCCACCACCTGCCGCTGATCCTGCTCCTCCACTTGCTCCTCCACTACCCGCCGTGCCAGAGCCTGTGTTGCCTGCTCCTCCTCCTCCTCCTCCGCCCGCACTCAAGGCTGAATCGAGGCTCGTGGGTGTTGGTGGCATGTTGTTGAGGACACTTCCAGGCGGCTTCTGCTGCTGCTGCTGCTGCTGTTGCTGCTGCTGCATGGAAGAGTTGAAGCTGTTGCTGTTCGGCTGCTGCTGCTGCTGTTGCTGTTGAATGGGCGTGGCATTGCTGAAGGGCGACTGGGGCATGAGCATGCCCACTGCCGCCGCTGCCTGCTGGTGAAATTGTCGCTGCTTCATCATTTCGCTCAGCTGCGGATTGCTGCCCGCTCCGGTGCCGCCATTGGCGTTTATGAACTGCTGCTGCTGCTGCTGTTGGCCAGGCACTGGACTGGTGAGGACATTGGCCACTCCAGCGGCCGTTTGGAAGGGGGATAGCACGGGATTGACTACCATGCCGCCGGGACTGGGTCCTGGAGGACCCACCAGCATGTTGCCCGCCTGCTGCTGCTGCTGCTGTTGTTGTTGTTGCTGTTGCGGGAATTGCATGCGCTGCTGCTGTTGCATCGTGAGCATGTTGCCGCCGGGCGAGTGGCTACGCATCGTTACCATATTCGCCTGGCCGCCGACTCCTCCGACGCCCACTCCAACGCCAACACCGAGTGCTCCAGCGAGTCCTGCGACACCCACGGGGCCAACGCCGCCAACTGGAACGCCCGTCTGCTGCTGCTGACCGACAACCATGCCGCCAGGACCCTGGGGACGGAGCTGTGGCTGCATCACGCCCCCCATGGGACTGATGATGGGACGGACTCCGCCAACGGATTGCTGCTGCTGTGTCTGCTGCTGTTGCTGCGGCCCTACCCCGACGCAGCCCTGCAGGGCACTCACCGTGGGATTAGAGACGGACACGGAGCCGGGCACTCCGACACCAACGCCTGGCACTCCAACGCCACCGGGAACCACAACGGGTCCGGGTCCGGGACCGGGTACGGGGCCAGTGCCCTGCTGCTGCATGAGCATCTGCTGGTGCTGCTCCTTGCGCTTCAGCCGCTTCTCCTCGAGCTCCTTCTGGATCTTGTAGATCTTCTCGGCGAGCAGGTGGTAGTACTCGGAGCGGCTCTTGGCCATCTCGTACATATCCTTCTCGACCTTCTCCGCATACGAGACGAGATTGTGCATCCGCTTGTCCTGCATCGTCGTCGGATCGGAGGTGGGGAAGATGGCCTGCACGAGCTTGTGGACGAGATGGTTACGCAGATCAGCCGTCACCGATTCCCGCCAGTCCTTTTCGCTGTCGTTGCCAGTGGCGCCCGTTCCTCCTCCGCCGGGACCGCCACTGGCGCTGTTTCCGCCACTGCCTCCGGCTGCATTTTGATTGGGATTGGCATTCGCATTCCCACCGCTGGCACCCGTCGTATCGGCGGGCATCAAGACACTGGATCCCTGGCCGCCGGCAGTCACGCCAGTCGCACCGCCAGGTCCTCCAGCGACGACCTGCGGATGTACTTGGGGCACCTTCAGCTTCGCCAGCTGATCCGCCTGCCCCACCAGCTGCTGCTGCTGCTGTTGCTGCTGCTTGTCCGCCGATCCTCCGCCAAAGTTGGAGCTGCCGAAGCCACCGACGTTCACAGACAGCGGCGTGGGAATGTTGCCCAACTGCTGGGAGGCATTCGTCTGCTGCTGCTGCTGCTGCTGTTGCTGCTGCTGCTGGTCGACCATGTTGGGGAGGCCGCCAACGCCGCCACCGCGTCGCCGATTGCCAGCATTGGCGGCATTGCACTGGCCCTGGAGCATTTGCTGCTGCTGCTGCTGGAGGCTGTTGACATCGTTGGGCAGGACGGAGCCAGAACCGGGACCCACGGGTCCAAGGACTCTCACTGTGGGTGGGGCGCCCTGCATTCGAATGCTCGGAGGCATCCCCTGCTGCTGCTGCTGGCCCGTTCCGACAGCGCCGCCGCCGATCATATTGCCAGCCGTCACGGGGGAGAGTCCCACCTGGCCCATGGCATCGAAGCGTCGCAGCTCCTGCTGCAGGACCTGTTGTTGGTGCTGCTGGGCTTGCTGCTGCTGCTGGGCTTGTTGCTGCTGTTGCTGGGCTTGCTGCTGCTGCTGCTGCTGGGCGAGTTGCTGGGCCATTTCCGCATTGGATTTGGGTGCACCGCCCTGCTGGGGCATCACGAGACCCGAGTTCTGTGCTCCTCCTGGGCCTCCTACCTGTTGCTGCTGCTGCTTGACATCGACTCCGCCAACGCCGCCGAGCACAGTGAGAGGTTGGTTCTGTTGTTGTTGTTGTTGTTGCTGTTGCTGCTGCTGCTGCTGCAGACTGCCGGGACCGCCTGGCACTCCGCTGCCTGGTGGTCCCCCGCCGGAGGTCGCACCACTGCCAGCGCCGCCACCGACATTGGCGTTCTGGAACACCGGTTGGTTCTGGCGGAACGGATAGCAAATGATGCAGGTGTTGTTGATGCAGGTCTTGTAGTGGAGTAGGATTTGGCGGGAGGAGGCGCAGTGCTGCATGGTGCAGTCCTTGCTCTGCTTGCAGGTCCCCATGTGCGCCAGCACCGCCTTCATCGCTTTGCAGTAATTGACGTTGCAAACCTCGCGATTCGGGTTGAGGTTCTCCCGCCGGTTGCACTTGTGTGCGTGCAGCAGGAGCATCAGCTGTTGCTGGATCTGGCGCTTGCGGTCGTCGGGCACATCCTGGCGATTGGGTTGCGCTCCACCCGCTCCACCACCGCCAGCCGCCGTCACAGCTCCTGCGGCGCCGACAACACCCTGGATCCCCTGCTGCTGCTGGGAGGTTCCTGGCTGCTGCTGCTGCTGTTGCTGCGGATGGCCCAGCAATTGTGGCTGTGGGGGACGTGGTCCAAGGGCACCCGGCTGCTGCTGGCCAAGCATCTGCTGCTGCTGGGGATTGCCGCCCACTAGCTGGCCGGTGGGTCCGGTGCCATCGCCGCCCAAACTGGGCATCGGGACAACAGTCCCAACGGGGCGATTGCCCTGCGGCATGACTCCGACTCCTCCTCGCTGTGCCATCTGCTGGGCAAGCAGCTGTTGCTGCTGCTGCTGTTGTTGCTGCTGTTGCTGGGGATTGTTGCCGCCGGGTCCGCCGTACTGGCCCACGCCGTAGGGCATGCTGTTGAGTTGTCCTGCGGGGAAAATGAGCAAAATGAGAGAGGATTAGCTGAGGCTGAGGCTGAGGCCCACGGACTTCATTGACTCTGGGACCTACCCATTTGCATGTTGGGATTCTGCATGCGTGGCCCACCGCCGCCGGGTCCATTCCCTGGGCCGCCTGGTCCGTTGCCGCCACCGGCTGCGCCCATTATGTGTGGGCCACGCAGCATATGCTGCTGGCCGACCATGCGGCCCATCATCGGACCGTTCTGCATGTGCATGCCCTGGTTGGGGGCCACTGAGCCGCCGCTGCCAGCGCCAACGGGTCCACCGGGTCCCCCTGCCACTGAGACAGCATTGATCATGCCGCCGCCTGGCTGCTGCTGCTGCTTCAGCTGGTTCACCATGCCGCCCATGCCGCCGCCGCCGACGCTGTTGGTGAGGACCATGTTACCCAGATTACCTTGGGCGATTGTGTTCATTCCTGGAGCAGGGAGAGAGAGAGAGAGAGAGAGAGAGAGAGAGAGAGAGACAGAGACAGATATAGTATAAAGCAGATCTTTTCCTTAAGGTAAGGATCAGGGAGATTAGCTAGCCAAGCCACCACTAACCTGGGATGGCATTCATGCCATTTCCATTTCCATTGTTCGATATGGACATGGGCATAGAATTGACCATGCCCATCTGTGTGGCGACCTGCTGCAAACCGCCCTGATTGGGGGACTGTAGATTCGGAGACTTACTGCCCAATTGGTTCATGCCCGGCACCACCATGGTACCCTTCTGGCCCTGCTGCTGCTGTTGCTGCTGGAGCAGATGCTGCAACTGCTGCTGCTGGTGCTGCTGCATTTGGCGGAGCTGCTGCTGATTGCCCGCTCCACCACCACCGCCGCCGCCGCCGCCGCTGCTGTTGCCGCTGCCATCGTCGCCACCACTTCCCTGCTGCTGGGAGCCACCGCCGCCGGCTCCGTTCATTTGTGAGGTAACGACCTGGCCGCCTGGCCCTCCTGAACCTGGGCCGGGGCCTGTCTGTTTGTTTGGTCCTACGCCGACGGCTTGAGGTCCGCCGCCGGCTGTTGTGTTGTTTGTGTTTGTGACGACATTTGAAGCGCCACCGCCGCCGCCGCCACTCAGCTGATCCGACCAGCCGCTGTTCGAAGACACCAGCTCATCGGGCAGATTCTCCTCCAGAAAGAAAGAGATATCCGCTAAAAAAGAAACAAGAAAAATAAATTTACAAATTGTATCCAATGGGGAGTGGTAGTGGGAGTGGGTGGGGGTAGTGGTGGTGGTGGTGGGGGGGGCTAGGATTACTCACTTGGATCCATTTTGACCCGCTTTGTGGGCGGTTCGTCCAAATGATCCGCCATCATGAAGATTCCGTTATGTTCTGCAGATTTTTGCAGACTTTCGAACCAAAATCCAAATTAAAATTTCAATTCGAAATTAAATGGAAAAATGACAACAAAAACTATACGAAAATTCGACTGCGAGTTGCGACACGATGCTGCAGAGCTGCTGCACGCCGCTGCACGCCGAGAGGACGCCGCCGCCGCCGCTTTGCAACTAACCACCGCTTGTCAAAAAAATGTTTTCTAAAATTTCCTTTTTTAAAATTTTCGTTTTTTTTTTTTGTGTTATCCCGTTAAAAAGTTCGATTTTTTTTTCGTTTCCCTTTTTTTTTTACACACTTTACAATACACACGAGAAGGGGGGAACAACGTACGCGGGAACGAGAATTTGAACAAGCACGAGAGCACGGGGGAAACTAGAACTGTACGGCTCGACAGTCAGCACTTAAATGGCAAAAACCAATGTAGGATGTTGAAATTTAAAGGTTTTCAGTTGTTGCTGAGTTTCCAGTGAATATTTGATTTGAATTTGAATCTTTTGTTGCTTCAGCAACTTTGATAAAGCTGTCAACTGATTTGCTCCTGCTCCTGCTTCTGCTTCTGCTCCTGCTCCTGCTGCTGTTTCTCTTTTCTTTTTAGTTTTTCTTGTCGTTGAGGTTGTTGTTGTTGTTGTTATTTTGTGGTTTGTGGCAGCTTCAGCACCTCCTCCTCTTCCTGCTCCTGCTCCTGTTGATGCTCCACCAGATGATCTCGACGTTCTGTTCGTCGAAGTACCCTCTCCTGGCGGCGGCACAGATGCTGTGGCGGCTGCTGCGGATACGTTACTATTTGTGTTGTTGTGCTCCCGCTCCCGCCGCTCCCGATCCAAACGCCAAATATCAATACACTTGAAAGAATGTGCTAATGACCAAGTTGACTCCTTTAAATGCCAGTCAAAACACAACTCGGGCATTTGCATTTTCGTGTTGGTTTGCCCCACCAAAGAGATGACCTTGGTTTGGGGATGGGGGGATGTGTGTGGTGGTGTTGCTGGTGGTGGCTGCTCCCTTTTTGCACTTTTTTTTCTTCTTCTGTTCTTACGTTTCTGTCTCTGTTGCTGTTTCTACCAACTTGTAAAAGTTGTTCATTTTATTGCATTTGCAGTTTTTGTTGTTGTTGTTGTTGTTGTTATTATTATTGCCGGAATATTGTGGTTGGGTGTGGGGGGTATTTTGACGATTATGACGATCGATGATGGATTAAGTTTTCAAAGAAACGTTTGACGAAATAATAAAATTCGTAGAAGCAGCGATTTTTGTTTGTTTGTTTGGTTTTTTTTTTTTTTGTGTGTGTGTGTTTCAGTGTTCCCTCGTCCTTATTTGAGAGAAACAAAGGGTAGAAGGAAAAAGAGCGCGCGCGAAATGGTTTTTGTTTTGTTTTGCTTTAACCGTTATTTCTTATTGCGTTTTCATTTTACATTTGTTGTTTTTGTTATTTTTGTATTTGTTTGCTGTAATTTGTTGTTGGTTTGTTGTTTCTGTTGTTGTTATAACATTTTGGCGGCTTTTTCTTTCTTTGTCTCTTTCTTATGGCGCTCTTCGCTTTTCGCTTTCTCCTTCTTTCACTCTCCCTCTCTCTCAGGCTGTGGCTACACTTGTTCTTCGTGGTTTTGTTGTGGTACAAAAAAAAAACCCAATTCACATGTTGGTTGTTTGTTGTTGTAGTTGTTGTAATTGTTGCACTTGTTATTGTTGTGTTGCGTTTGTTACGTAGTGCTGCTGCTGCTTCTGCCTCCTGCGTTGTTGCTCCGTCTTTCCTCGTTGCCTTTGATCTAACATTGCACTTAAACTGTAAAAAAAGAGCACACAAGCCCAGCGTAAGACACAGGATGCAACACATGGGAGATGGATGGGTGAGAGGCCCATAGAACGCGACTACGACTACGAATTCGACCACGACTGCGACCACTGCGACACTGTCATTCCCGCTACTGCCTGCGGCTGCTACGATTGCCAATATTTATTTATCTTTTTAGCCGACTTGCCGCCTTCTGGCCGGGCTGCCTCCTGCCACACCACAGCTTCCTCCTCCGCCGACGCCACCACCTCCTGGCGACGAGACAGAGACGAGACGGAGACACAGACTCCTCCGCCGCCACCGCCGCAGACGAACGGACACGACTTGACAACGGCACTCGCACTCACTCGCTCCCACACTCGCAATTATTCACCCACTCGCTATTTCTAACCAGACGTGGACGTGTAGCCTCTCTCGCTCTTGCACAGCAGTTCAAAAAATAGGAAAAATAATCAAATAGTTTTGCCGCCAGGGCCAAACAAGTGCCGCCCTTTTCGTAACATTCGCATTTCCCACAAAATCAATAGTACGGTATATTCGAAAATTTTCACTCAAGTAATTACTCCCCATACAGGGCAGACATAATTTCTGACGTTAGTTCTTTGACACAGGCAAAAGTTGCATTATTTTGATTTTGCTTCCGCATTGGGAGGCGCAGCAGCGGGCGCCATCATCGTACGAGATTTCAATCGAGATGCTACTCGCAAGTTTTTGGACGAAAAGCTTTTTGCGCCTCTGCGTTGGGTTTGCTTTGGGGTCTCTGTCTGTCACTCGTCATGCTGACCAAGCTCCAACGACAGTGGCTACGGTGGAGACGGGCGCCAGAGCGAGATGGAACGCGAGTACAGATATTCTCGTAAGTTTTCACCACACACACAAGCACGCTCTCACAGCGACACGACTCAGAGAGAGAAAGAGAGTAACACGCTCTCGCACGTTTGCTAGTGTGCTGCTAGCGTTTTAATGGTTGGTATGTGAGCATACACACACTATGGGTAAGCAACCAGCGAGTGCGAGGAGCATTGGAAAAGGAAAGAAAAACAGAGACGACGACAGAAATATATTCAATTTTTTGTGTCGCTCCGCTCGTCGTTTTCTTCTTCACGTCGCTTCAAAGTTTCTATTGCAGAAATTTTTTGTGTTGTGCCCAGGCATTAGGCAATTTTGGCGGCCTTGCAAAAAATCACAAAATTCTGGCCGGCAAATTCATAATTCGGGAAAATATCGTAGTTAATTAGGAAAAAATTTCAAGTTATTCTGTTCGGCGAATTAATTTTGTAAACTTCAACTTTTTGCCACGCACTTAATTTTGTATTATTCTATGGAGTTTTCTCGAATTTCGCATTTATACCGTATAATTTTCACATTTTTCCCCGATTTCTGGCAATTGTTGCAAACTTTTTCGCAACACTAAAACAAAAAAATTTCATCCGCTTGTGTTGCAGCAGAAAGTCAACTGATTTCGCGAACGAGTAGCAACAGAACTAGAAAGAAAGACTGAAGCTGAAACGACTACGGGTCCGCTACTACGGGAGCGGAGCGCGAAAGAGCGGGCCAGATAACAAGCAGCAGCGAGTGGTCGAATAGTGATGTCACGACTTGTTGGCAAAATATTTTTAAGCCACTAGATCGCTACTTTTGCGATCGTGACTGATCGTGCTACTTGTTCGGGAGTATTATATACAGACAAGAATACAGACAAGTCCCAACATGATCGGGGCATGTAGCTGACACACATGTACATGCATACGTCTTTAGTCAGGAAACATATCAGATGTACATATTTATAATTGAAATGGATAATCTATGTGATATTCCCTGCAAACATTCTTTATTATATAATCTTTGGATTAAAGGCGCATGGAAAATCAAACATCAGACAGGGAACCTTTTAAGTTATCGTTTTGCAAGCATATTGATAATAAAATTCGTGAAATGAATTTCATAGCAAAGCGAAAATGCTAGACAGATTAGCAGCTACTGAGTTTAATTTGCTATTACAAAGAATCATTTGTGATTCATTAAATCACCATGGATATTTTAATTGTTGACTAATTAAATGTCTGCTTGTTTGGGAATTTTTTTTGTTAAAAACTATATTAACTATTTCACATATCAGCCACAAACAGAAATAACCCCAGTCACTACTTCTCGCATCTCTATGAGCCTCAGTGTTAGACAACGCGCGGAGTAGCATGTTTTCGGTGAGCGGACGGCTGCAGAGAGAGCGACAACAGGCCGCAAACATCCGCCACAGGACACACCACTAGTGTTGTCCTTGTCCGACGAACCGGTGGCCATCGAAACAACAGCGCACGGAATCAAACATTTATTTGTGATTTATTCCGCAATAAAAGGCCACATAGTTGCTGCCTTCCAGTTCCAACAATTGCTCCGCCGCGCATTTCATCCGGATGCGTATTCCATCCGGTTTTTTTTGGCGCGCGCTTTCGACGGGCGGCAGCCTATTTATTTACAATTTTTTTGTTATGGCGGCTGCTTGGACTCACCGCACACACAGATGCATTTTTAGAGAGAGAGCATGAGCACTCTCACTCACACACGCAGACAGACACGTTGGCACGAATGAAAGCGAGATAGACAGAGCCGCTCTCTCTGGCATTTTCTGCGTGCGTGTGAGCGGGCCAGCTGGCGTGACGCACTCGAACGAGTCAGTCACGTCAGCGAGTGAGTGTATTCTCTGAGAGTGCGCTGCTGAGAAAAATATATTTTTCTATCCAAAATGTCAAAGTGACGATTGGGAATAATGCCCAACAATTTTTACGTTTAAATGCATTTGCCCAATAATTGAATTACATTCTCTGGTAGTGCGCCATTAATTGCGAACAAGTGTGCTCTTCTACATACGTTTTGCCGGCTGTTTTTAACGTGCACTAACGTCACGACTACGTCACGTTTCGGGGCTCGCGTGTAATTTTTGCGCCAATTTTTCCTCCACAAACCTTTTTCTACGTTTTCTTTTTTTCTGTTTTTCTCTTTTCTCCTCTGTTGTTGGAAAAGTGCGCCATGATGGGGTCAGGCGGGGGGCAGCAGGCCTTATTTATGCTCTCCCCGTCAGAGATGAGCAAATTGCTTGCGGCCGCGATCGTTCACAAATATTTTAAAGTCGTGGAGCTAAATTACTTATGTCGCATATTACTTCTGTTTAAACTTAGATCAGTAATGGTGTAATTTTTAATTTGATTTATATTATGACTTTTAGGTCACCTTGTGCGTCATCTCCCATCGGCAGAGATTTTTTGAGCCAAAAACTGGGTCGCTGCCGGCTTTTGGTTAATTTTTCTAGGAATAAAGGAATATTCTGGAACCAGCTGGAATTGGATTGGTACATGTTTAAATACATACAGCTGTGAAAAAAATTATAGCACCACCACCATAAGCAATTTTTAAATAATTGCCAAACTCACATTCTTAGCTTTAAGCACATTTTTAGAAATGGGAGACTAACAAACCTGGAAATACAAAAAAAAAAATCATGTTATTGTAACGTTTTTAAAATATTTAAGGAACTTAATTGAAATTCATAAAACTAGGCGAAAAGGAATAGCACCACTTTTCAAAAATGGATTTAAAATTTAAAAAAAATAAGCAATATGTAACGAATTCAATAGTTAACCATTTTGAACTATTAATACTAAATCTATGCATAATTTAATGTTTAGTACAGTGTCCTTTATTGGCAATAACAGCTGCGCAGCGTCTTGGCATGGAATCAACCAAGTCCTGGCATCGTTTTAGGGTAATTTCAGACCAGGACTCTTTAATTTAGAAGCAGCAACTGCCTTCTTGACGTCGGACCACACCACAGATTTTCGATGGGATTCAGGTCAGGCGACTGAGCAGGTCACTCCAAAACGTTCACAGAGTTTGCCCTGAACCATTTCTTTGCTTTATTGCTGGTGTGTTTGGAGTTGTCCTGTTGAAAGACCCATATGAGCGGCATTTCATATTGTGCAAAGAGTAGCATTACTGTCTCCATGATATTCACGTGCTGATCCATGATGTATTGTATCCAATGTATTGGACCTACTCCATAGTAGAAGAAGCAGGCCTATACCATTTCACTACACCCTCTATGCTTAATAGTTTTTGTTGTGTACTGGGGTTTTTTTCAGTATTTTTTTGGACGTCTAAAGTATGATCGACATCCCTTTCCACCAAACATAACCACTTTGGACTCATCTAACCATAAAATATTTCTCCATTTTGGGGATGTCCAATTTGCATGATCCCTGGCAAACTTCAGGCGTAGTACCTTTCTTGGGCTGCAGGCTTTAAGGCTATGTTGACTTAGATATGTGCGAACTGTTTGGTCCGTCGCATTTATTGTAAGCTCTTTTTTAAGCTCAGTAGCAGGCTTGAAGGGCTCCTTCTTGCTCTGACGAATCAGTCTTTTGACATTAACAGGGGTCATAGATCGTTTTCGCCCGCGTGTTTCAGTCTTTTCTTCATAGTTTAAGGCGTTTTAAATTATTTTATTGGAGTATCCAACTTCTCTGTAAGTTTTTCCATCCAATATAAATTTTTTGATAAGATCGCGCTTCTCCGCAGTGCAGTGCTTTTCACGTCCCATTTTAATTATCATTTTTAACTTTTATGATAGAAACAGTGAGTTCTTAGTTAAAACTAATGAGCACATGCATTCTGCAAAGGCAATGCTACGAAATTCAGGGGATTCCCCCCAAAAAAGGGCTAATGGTGCTATTTTTTTTTCGCAATTTTTGTGGGCTTTTTTTTAAATTCCCAAAAAAAAATATATAGACAAAAATTTGAAGGGCGGTAGCACTGTTTTTGTTCAGAGGGAAGTGGTGTTATTATTTTTTTCGCAACTGTACATTAATTGATATTAAAAATAAAATTAAATGGTTAATATATTGGAATTGCCATTAAAATCTTATTTTCTGTCTGTTGCTTCTATTTAGGAGCATACATATGCACGGAAATTCCCGTCTCCGCTTGGCATTAATTCGCTTTTTTTACATATGTGAAAAGCAAATCCAATTTATTACGAGTATATTCCTTTCAGAAACGCAATAAAGTTGCAGTGGGATTTCAAGTACATATCAATATTGTATTTTGCTTAACATCTGGAAGTATTCGTTATTGTATATGTTTTGTATATTGTATAAACTTTTGTTAATATGTTCAGACCTATCCCAATTGACAAGCAGTTGCAATAAATATGTTCAGATAATATGATTATATAAATATATTATATAATATGTATATATATTATATTATATGCCGCATAGAATATTGCAGATGTTGCTGCACTTGTTGTAGCTGATGTGGATATTGTAGCTGCTCCGGCTGTGGCTGATGTCGCTGCTGAGCCTCTTGTAGCTGCTCCGGCTGTTGCGTCTGTTGCAGTTCTGGCCGAGCCCAATATTGTGTCTTCTAAGCCTTCGTAAGAGTGTCCGCCCCACTTCGGCAATGGCACCCACTTTGCCATTGTGGGCGGCAAGCATCATTTCAAAAGCCCGATCAGAAATAAGAGACCACCTCTCCTGCCTCTGCCTCAAACTCTCTATTGGCAACAATGAGAGGCCATCACGGGTACCACGACCACGACGGCCACCACGGCCACCGCTAATGTGGAAATGTTGGTGCAACGACACTTGGTCACTTGTGCGTCAACAAGGCGTTGATTTGTTGCTGTTGCTGGAATATGGAATAAACAGGTAAATAAATAGAAATAGAATCCCCTCACTCTGATACTTAAAGCTGGAGGTTGCTCCCTTAAGCAAATTTTCGCGATCGTTTCGAGCGACGGTGTTTGATCTGGAAATGAAAAGCATAAGAAAAGCATCAAACTGGATAGTATTTGATAGTAACAATGTTACTACACTACAACACGCCTGCAGCATGCATATACACACATGCCATGCCGTAAATTGTTAAATATGATTTAAGTTTTACTGGCTTGGGTCCTGTGCTCTACAGTTTTCACAATGCGCCGTTCCATGCACACACACATGCAAGGGAACGCGTCGACACGCACAGGAAGGAACACGGCAGGAGAAAATGCGCGCACACAAATATTAAAATTGTTAAATATGATTATGTATTGTAATTGAAAGACGTGCGAAAGACGCTGATCAGCGCCGCCAAAAAATTGAGAGACCAGGCGTGCGAAAAACACAGTTGAGCTCAAAAATTGAGCTAATTGAGCAGCTCAAATTGAGCACAAATATATATGTATACATATATACTTTATTGTTAGATTTAAATTAAATTTAAAACCACCCGCAAAGTCAGCCATATACTGGATATGCTTACGAAGTGATCTATTGGGTATATTATTAAACTTTATTTGATTCATCAATATGCCGGGTGTCCAATTAGAGTTGGCCATTAAAATTCATATAGGAAGATATCGTCAGAATATTGTATAAATATTTTAACAATAGCTAAATAACCTATTGCCATGGTCACGACTATCGGAATTGTGCCGATCCTGCAAGCTGACCATCTCTAAGTGTGACTGTGAAAAACAGAAGTCAAATAACCAAACAAACTATTCAGTGCTGGTAAATACCAACTATTTAGTACTGTGTAACGACAAAAGACAGCGCCCTCTGTAATGCAAAGTGGGCACTAAATTCACATGGTTTGTGTCTTTGCTAACGGACCAAAAGCGCCATCTGTGGTATGACAAAATATCCGTTTGAATTTGAATTGAAAAGAATTAAAAATTTTAAGTTAATTAAATATCAGGCAGTTGGAGTTAGTTGGTGGCACTAAACTAATGTCCAAATGATATTACTATGTTTAATCGTATCTGAGTTTATTTTCTTATTCGCTGTCACATGATTCATATGGCATTAGCCAACAAAGGGGATCCCACAGCAGCACACGGGCAGGGGAGCAGCAGCGGCAGGACATCTAAGGACTTTGAAAGGAACAGCGGTCTCTGCTTACGAGTCTTTTGCAATTTAGTATCGAACCAATTAGTCCTCCTTTGTCCTTTGTGCCCTGTGTGTGACCTGCTTTGCCGCCTTGTTTTTCCAATTTTTTGTTTTGTTTTGTTTAATTTTTTTTTGTTTTTTTTGCAAAAATCAAATCGATTTTTCCCATAGCTCTTGTGCTGCTCCTTTTTTTCTCATTCTCTTGCTCGCTCTCTGTTCCTGTCTCTTTCGCACAGTTGCCACTGTTTTCCCCGCTCTATCTCGCTCGCAGCGGGGCGTGCGGTGCCAGATCAGAGGCCCCGAAGGCCGCCGCGGGGCGCCCTCAAAATGATGATCTTTTCGACACCCCATTTATGGTGCACGGCGGCTTCTTATCTTCTTCGGAGTCTCTCTCTCTCTTTCTCTCTCTCTCTGTGTCTCTCCCAGCTCCCGTTCCACCGGCGAACAAGTGCCTTGCCCTTTGAGCCTTCTTTTTGGGTAGGATTTTCTTAGCTTGGGTAAAGTGATTTCCCTGGAAGTGTTAGAATCCTCTTGTTTCGGCACTCTTCCCTCTCTCTCTCTCTCTCTCTTGTTTCTCTTGTTTCGGGGTCCTGTAAATTGATGCTGTTGACATTTTTAGTGCAAAATGGTCTCCTAGGAGATCTCTAATATCTTGTTCGCGGTTCGGCCCCTGCCTGTGTCAGTGCCAGTGCCAGTGCCTGTGCCCCCCTGCCCCTTGCCACTTGCCCCTGACAAACGCACACGCACACGAGAAATATTTATTATTGAAATTAAAATTTATTGTTTGATTCTATTGTGTGTGTGTTTTTTTTTTTTTGCATCGGAGCCGCTTGATTAGAGAATTCCCTGGAAGTAGATGAAGATTCGGTTGCAAGTGCGCCCCCCTCCCCCCACCCAAGCCATTGCTACGAAAAAGGTCAAAGGAGGCGCAACGCGGCTGCGGCTGCGGCTGCGGCATGGCATGGCACGGCCTGGCCTTGGGCCAAAAATCGAGGCATTGCGCAATCTGTCGCTCAGAAAGAGGGCAGTGGAGTCCGGAGTCCGAGTAGAAGGCGTTCCCCGATTCCCATTTGGATTTGGATCGATAGATCGATCGATGGTTAGGCCCAGCTGTTGTTTGCCCTCAGATCTCGAAGATATGTATATGTATTTTGGGGTCGTCCGCACAGTTAAAAGGGATATTAAAGGATTTAAAGAAACAAAAAACAAACTTCTGTTCTGGCTGGGTATGTAGATTCTGCCAGACACACGCTTGGCCAATATCTGAAACAATGAAAATATCCTGGAGAACTGCACCAAGGCGGTGGCTGTTAAGGCGTACTTCTGCCACAACAAAAAACTTTATTTGATGCTTAAGTATACCGTTTCTCTTGGCTTGGAAGATATTCAATTTAGAAACCTAAATTTAAGTTTTTATTCAGATATTTTACCATGGAAGATTACAATGCTTAAAGTTTTCCAAAAAGGATTATAAATGGGAGCTAAGCTCTAAGCTAAGACAAGGGTATATTCCAGGATATAGGATGATCAGATCACAATATTCAGGTGCATTATAAATATCAGGGACCGTAATCATTATAAGTTATATTTTAAAAATTACATTGCAATTATTATTATTTGAATTTTGTACGGTTTTCTTCAATGATAATCATTATTTCTGAGTAATTTAATAAGCTTTAAACATAATCATTATTTTTTATCCAAAAAAATTCAGCTTAAAAATAAAGATTATAAATGATTATAATCGAAATTAAACTCAACAGTAAGTACCGGTCTCTGGGGACCGAGATACCGGGATCAAAAAGCTACCCCACACGCTTAAATGTTCTTTTTATTAAATATTAATTATATTCTGTTTTCCAATTGAAATAATAGCAATACAAATTAAATAAATAAAATACAAATTAAGTCCGAAATTAAAATATAATTTATTTGGATGCACATTTTTGGCTAAAACAAAAAAGATATATATGTGTGTATGTATGTATGTATAGTGGGAATAGCAGTGCAGATAGGGGCTACACAGGACACAGGATCGGCGTAGAATAGATCTCGCAGTTCAAAGTCAATTGGCGAGCAAAAAACCCCCGGGCAAGGGATTAGGTTTCGTGGCTAATCTCTGGGCAAGAGCAGGGGCCAAGACGTTAGAAAGGCCAAAATATTTGCAGACAGTGAAAGGATTTAAATGCGAAAATCCCCATAAATCCAATTAACATAAATCTGCATAACGGGTTAAGGGATCTCTCACGAATCGTTGCAAGGGTCGCCGTTGCAACCGAAAGGATTACAAAGCGGAATGCGAAATTTCAATTGAATAAGATTTTCATACCTGTGACTCGATTTCCATCTTTCCCTCACTCTCGCTCTCACTCTCTCGATCTGTGGCTGTGGCTGTGGATCCACCTTATATGTGTGTCTCCTTCCTCTGCCTCTGGCTCTGCCTCTGGCTGCGGATTACCGCAGACGATCCCTTGACTTTTCCTGCTAAGCGATCGTAAAACGTGGATTATGCATTTATGGCCCCCACACAGGCACACAGGCACACTGGCACACTGACTCACCTCTCACCCACAAGAGCAGGGGTGCGGTTTAATCCGAGACCAGGAAGATATGATATTAATCTGCTCGATGGGTGGTGGATGGCTGGCTGGCTGGCTGGTTGGCTGGTTGGTTGGTTGGTTGGATCGTCAGGGAATCAGGGAATCAGGGAATCAATAATTACGATTCAGGCGTAACCGAGTCAGGGGCTAGGTAGCACAACATTCCCTCCCGGTAATCCTCGACCAGCTCAGCTCAGCTCAGCTCTGCTCCTTTCTGGCGTGGATTAGCGGCGATCTAGCCCAGAAATCCCCAGCGCGTATAGGGATGAGGAGCTTTGGTGTCGCTAAATGCACAAAAGTCAAAACTTTTTGCCATGCCTACCTGCATGGCCTGCATTGCCGTGATCCTGGCTCTGATCCGCGTACGAGCAGTTGTTTGTGTCTGTTTGGTGGGCTCGTCCTGGCTAATCAATTGATTATCGCCATGGATTGAATCGGGGTTTGGCTTGGGGAACAGGGCAGAACAGAACAGAGCGGAGAAAGGATTGCGGCTAAAGGTTGACTGTTTGTGTAGGCTTGAGACTGGATTTGGAATTGGATTTGGATTTGGATTCAATTCCCACTCAAAAGATTAAAAATTGCACAATATTTGTGGAGATTTGCATCACTTGGCAGCGAACTTCTTTCAAAGTTCTCCCTTCCCTGGTAAATACATATTTACGTTTTCCTCTGATCTTTCTCGGCTGTTCTTTGGATCCTCCTTTGTACACTTCCTTAGATCTTTGCTGAGATGATTCTTCAAAGTTTTGGCATCTAATTGTAGTTCTTTTCCCACTCGGACAGACACTCCCAGACAGACAGACAGGCAGGCAGGCAGGCAGGCAGGCAGCAGGCACTCTTCCATCTCCACTTGACCTACTGGCAGGAAGGCAGGAAAAAGGGGGCGGCGTATGGGGCAGAACTTTCCTTGCCGGGCTGGGGCTCTCTTTTCTGCTAATTGATTATGCGGCGACGCTGTGGCCCAAGGACAAGAACAAGAACAAGGACAAAAGCTGGCAACAGGAGACTGGGCAGACCGGGCAGACCGGTAGACGGGAGCAGGGCAGGGCTATGCTGAGCGGGGAGGAGGAAGGGCAGACGGTCTTCAAGTCTAGTTGACTTCAGCATTGTCATAAATCTTCGCCAGCGGAGGAGCCACCAAAGGGGGCCAAAGAGAGTGCTCCTCTGGCATGGCAGCACGAGACAGTGCTCCTCCTACTCCTCGTTATTGTTGTTGCAACTCTGGTTGCTTCAATATAATTGTATCTTCCGTTTCATTACATGTTGCCCCAGCGAGTCGCGTCCCATCCCAGTCAGAGGATATGCAGAGCCACACAGAAGCCTAGGGCGTATGCGGCGTGCGGGAGAGTTTGCGTTCATACTAAAATAATCAATGGGAATATAATGTGCTGCCACAGAGATTTATGTATGCGAACTGTGTATGAAAGTTACACTGATATTTCGCAAAGTTTTATGCATTAAAATTCCATTGGATGGCAGTGGAACATCATCCCCATTCCCATCCCCTATTAAAGGTATTCCCATGGTGGGTACTGGGTAGCTTTGCCGTCGATCACTCTGGCTGGCTGCTTCGTGCCTCTTGTTTTGTGGCTCGTTTCGGTTTAGGAGTCATCATTATCTTTTCACAGCAGCGGCAGCAAATCGTAAAATTTGTGGCTGGGGGACCCACGTTGCGTATGCGTAATAAAAAAAACGCCGCATAATAAAAAGGGATAGCCAGAGGAATGGGTGAGGGGGTGGGGAGGGGAGGGGAGAGGAGAGGAGAGCCAACAACAATTGTGATTAATGTGCGCACACACACAAAGGCACACACACACACGCAGGAGTGCATAAGCACAAAAGAGATAGACAAAGAGAGAGAGAGAGAGGTACCCGCGGCTGCTGCTGCTGTTGCTGCTGCTGTCGACGTCTTGCGCTTGCCTTTGCCCGCTCTGCCGTCTCTGCCGACTCTCTTTTGTGGTGGTGTTTGGTTAACGCCCCTTTAAATACAGTTATTTCATTGGGCCGCGACCACAAATTTATTAGTTTTTATTGTTATTGTATTGATATTTGAATTACGCTCCCCATACCCGCTCCGGCACTCTAACTCTCACCCCACCCCACCCTTTCGTTTTCTCCTTCTTGTGTTCCCCTTCCCATGACAGAGAGTGAGAGAGAGACGGAGTGTAAAATGAAAAATTAAATGCCATAAAACAGAAATTTTAATTTAATTAAAATGATGAGCAATCTTCCCCTTTCTCGTTTACTCTTGAAAAATTGTTGGTTGAAGAAAAAGTAAAAATTACATGAAAATAAATGAGAATATGGGGGGTATGGGTATGGGTAACAATGGGAATTTAAAGAGGAGTACAGATGAACCAAATCTGTCGATTTACATATGTATCTTGTTATTCTTCACTCAGAATATTAAAAAACATTTTTAATTCTAAACTAAATCGAATCTTAGTACACAAAGCCGAAGATTATATACCCTAAGTGTGCGATGACTCATAGATCTATTTGGTTTTTAATTATGAATTAATAACTAAGCAACACTAAGGAAAAACTTAGAATATACTAGAATATTTCAGATGGAATATTTTCTGGCTTAGCATTTAAGTGAAATAAAAGTACAGAAAATTTTGAAAATAATTAACTTTAAAGAGCAGAAAATCCTGGGTTAAGCATTTTGATATTTCGTTTTCCATATGGTAGGCAACTTGAAGGCTTTCGAAAGTTACGCAAAGAAGCTTCAAACGTTTGAACACTCAGATCTAAGAGGAGTCTAAAAGGAGCAACAAGAATAAGGCGCTACAGAAACAACAACAACAACAACAAATGGAATTGCTCACCCAATTGCTTTGACACACAAACCCACACATAGAAATTAAAACAAAACGCCCGCGGATACCCGAAAAGAAGAAGCACAAACGAGAAACAGAGTGAGAGCGAGAGAGTGAAAGAGAGAGGTAGAGCCCGCAAGCATGGCTGTGGCGGAGAGCAAGTGGGATAGCTAGACAGTGGCTAGCTGCCCTAAAGGCAAATCCAAAAACAACCACCGCCACACCGCCACACCGCCACCACCAGCAGCCGCAGCAGCAGGCCAGAGACAGAGCGAGAGAGACAGGGGAGAGAGAGAGGGAGAGAAAGCAGCACTGAGAGGCAGAGAGCCGAGCAGTGCGTCTGAAGAGCACAGCACTATGATGTGTCTCTGCTGCTGCTGCTGCTGCTGCTGGCATGCTCTGCCTGCCCGCTACCCGCAGAACGGACGACGACGCCGCTGCTGCCGTCATCAGTGATTCGTTTTGTACGTTGTTAGACTCTCTCGCTGCGTTTTGGAATTCAGTCGAGAACGATAATTAACGGTGGTTGTATCACATCACGCGCAGCAGCAGCAAAGCAGCAAAGCAGCAGCAGAGAAGAGCACGAAGAGGAGAATCCGACCATCGACATCGAAAACGAATTCGAATCCGAGAACGAGAGCTTGCCAACCCCCCTCTCCCTCCATCCATCCGCCAGCCAGCCAGCCAGCCAGCGTAACTCTACAGTAAAAACTGCAACTTTGTTTCGGATCAACCATATACTCGATATATATATATATACACGATATATACCACGCGATTCCGGGGGACTTGTGAATTTTTGGTTGCGTTTCAGCCTTTAATTTGCTTCGTTCGTTCGTTCGTTGGGGTTTGGTTTTTGTTTTTGTTTTTGTGCGGCTCCATTTCGCGTGTGTGCGACGCATCGACGTCAGCAATTATTGAGGAGCAGCGGCAGTGGCAAAAGCAGCGCTAGTGGCAGTGGCAGCAACCAGCAACCAGCGAGCGGCTGTGGAAAGACTATAATTATAAAACTAAAGTGAAAAGCGTGCCATAATTACAAGACAAATATCAATAAGTGAGAGAGCGAAATGTGCGAAAATTGTTAAGCCAAAAGGAAGAGCAGAAGCAGAGGAGAAGCAGTCAGCATTCGCAACCAGCCATCCTCGTACTCGTACTCGTACTCCAGCTCCCCCTCCATCCGGAATCAGCATCCAGGAATCATCACATAAATTGCATTTCCAATATGATTGATGCGGCCTGCAATTACCTGAATCCCTATGCCCTGCCCCACCAGCAGCAGCAGCAGCAGCAGCAACAGCAACCGCAGCAACATCCCCACCAGCTACAGCATCCACATCCCCATCCGCATCTACATCAGCAGCAGCAACAACAACAGCAGCAGCAACTCCACTTGCAACAGCAGCAGCAGGAGCACCAGCAGCTCCTCTTGCAACAGCAACAACAGCAACAGATGCAACATACCCAGCAACAGCAACAGCAACAGCAGCAGCAATCGTCGCATGATTTCATTAGCGTCAGCGCCTCCAGTGGCACCACCCCCAACTCCCACTCCAGCAGCTCCAGCTCCAGCATCAGCGGCTGCAGCACCAGCAGCTCCCCGCTGTACGGCATTGGGCTGGGCATCGGCCTCGGTCTGGGCATCGGCATCGGGAAACCCGGAATGAAGATGGAAATGCAATATCCGCCACAGGCCTCCTCCACGGGCACGGCATCGCCCAACTCCAGCATCCAGTCGGCACCCTCCTCGGCGAGCGTGTCGCCCAGCATCTTCCCCTCGCCGGCCCAATCCTTTGCCAGCATTTCGGCCAGTCCCACAGCCACGGGGGAGAGCAGAATCGCCGTTCCATCATCATCATCGTCATCGTCAGCAGCAGCAGCAGCAGCAGCTGCAGTGGCCGCCTCCACAGCAGCCACATCCTCCTCGTCCTCCGCATCCTCCCACTCACCCTCATCCTCGGCAGCAGCAGCGGCGGCGGCGGCAGCAGCAGCTGCAGCGGCAGCCGCGGATCTGGGCGCAGCGGCGGTGGCCAGCGCCGCCTACGGATGGAACACGGCAGCAGCCGCCTACTCCGGCCTGCCCGCAAGGTAAATATCGCCGGAAGGCAAAAAGAAAGAAAGAAAGAAAGAGAGGAAGGAAGGAGGGAAGCAGAAAGTGCTCCGCCCATGAAAGCGCCCCCAACTAATTCCAATCCCTTCCCCATTTCCACCCTTTGTAATGATTGCAGAAGCCAATTCCCGTACGCACAGTACGCATCGGACTACTACGGGAATGCGGTGGGCATGTCCTCGTCGGCCGCCTGGTTCTCGCACCAGGAGCGGCTGTACCAGCCGTGGTCCTCGCAGAGCTATCCGAGCTTCAACTTCGACGACATCGCCTTCCAGACGCAGCTGCAGCGCCGCTCGGTGCGATGCACCTGCCCCAATTGCACCAACGAGATGAGCGGCCTGCCGCCCATTGTGGGCCCGGACGAGCGCGGCCGCAAGCAGCACATCTGCCACATACCCGGCTGCGAGCGGCTCTACGGCAAGGCCTCCCACCTGAAGACCCACCTGCGGTGGCACACGGGCGAGCGGCCGTTCCTCTGCCTCACCTGCGGCAAGCGCTTCTCCCGCTCCGACGAGCTGCAGCGGCACGGACGCACCCACACCAACTACCGCCCGTATGCCTGCCCCATCTGCTCCAAGAAGTTCTCGCGCAGCGACCACCTCAGCAAGCACAAGAAGACCCACTTCAAGGACAAGAAGAGCAAGAAGGCCCTGGCCGCCGAGGCCAAGGAGCAGGCGGCAGCCGCTGTTGGCTCCGGCACCGGCACCGGCTCCATCAAGCAGGAGAAGGCGGAGAAACTGCAAAAGAAGCCAAAGGCCCACTCGCCACCTGTGGAGTTCAAGCAGGAGCAGCCGGAGAGCGCCCTGCTCCACAGCTATGCCCCCTATGCCAATCTCTACCAGCAGTCATCCTCCGCCTCAGCCTCGCTCGCCGGCCCACCGCCGCCGCCGCCACTCTTCCAGCAGCAGGCGCCACTCCAGCATCAGCAGCAACAGCAGCAGCAGCAGCAGCAGTCTCAGATCGGGCTGGGCAGCAGCTACGAGCCGTGGAGCAGTGCCGCCAATAATCGTGCCATACAACTACCGACTACCTCAGCGACCGCCACCTCAGTGCCCGTTACGGCCAGCTCCCCGTCCTCCTCCGCCGCCTCCGCCAGATCCCCGTCTGCAACGGCATCAGCATCCGCATCCGCATCCGCATCTGTATCCGCCTCCGCCTCCGCCTCGGCTTCGGCATCGGCATCGGCGGCTGTGGCCGCCTTGGCCTCGCAGCAGCAACACTATGCCGCCCTGGCCATGCAGAGCGAATCCCAGCTGGCGGCAGAGTATGGACTGACCATGTCCGGCCTAGCCAGCGGCGCCAGCCAGGACTCCAGCTCGAGCTGTGCCGCCGCCAATGCTGTGTCGAGCCACTCCTCCAGCGGCGGTGGCGGTGGCGGTGGCGGCGGCTACTCCAGCCTCATTGGCCACATGAAGTCGGAGTATGCGGCCAGCTATCCCACGGAGTTTGCCACCGGCTCCACCGGCTATGGCTATCCGCATTCGCATCCGCATCATCCGCACGCGCATCCGCATCATCATCACAATGCCTGGGCAGCGGCCTATCATCCGCATGCCACTGCCTAGGGCGGCTCCACAATCCACAGTCCTCCTAATAATCATCCCCATGCCCATCCCCATGCCCATGCCCATGCCCATCCTCGTTGTTGTTGACGGTTGAAACCGATGCCATGCCCCTAATCCCCGATACCACCCACCCCACATTCTCTCTCTTTAATTCTCTCCAAGTGAGTAGCTGGGTATCTGGTGTGGACGACTCTACACAGATATTCGAAGCATTCTTTGAGCAGAAGCAAACCGTAGAACGAGATCCATCTAGTGTTTTTTTTTTCTATATATAAATGTGTTTATTGTTGATAAATCTACAGAAAAAAGAGCAGATGCCGATGCAGATGCAGTCTATATTATACAGATAGATATTACTATATATAGTAATCTCTATATATATATATATATATACAAATATATAAATAATCTTTAGCCATAAGAAGAGACCATTTTTTTTTTGTCCAATTTTTTTTAATAGTCCTAGGAGAAAGTGATTTTTTTTTGCATGTGTGTACATAACTCTATATAGAACGATATACCATATACCAATCCTACATATAAGAAGTATATATGTGGGGAGGAGAGGAGAGGAGAGGAGAGAAACCATCTAGTTGTGTACCATAATAATTGTAATAATTGTTAATTGTCTTTAAGATAAATTAAATATATATGTATATGTGTATACCTAACTCGTAATCGTACAGCAAATCGTACAACAAAAGGCGACAAAATCCACACACAAAAACACAACAAAATCCTAACAATAAAACAAAACAAAAACGAACAAAATTATATCGAAAACAAAAGGCGAATTCCAGTTTACTTCTTTCCAGAACAGAACAGAACAGAACAGAACAAGATCCTTATGTGATCCCTCGAGCCACGACTCACCCTTGAGTCCAGTGTAGAGGAGGGGTTGCTGATCAGCAGAGGGAGCGCTGATTGGGGTTGCAGGGCAATTCAGGCATTGGATTGCTCTCCGAGCTTCTTCTTGACTTCCTGTTTATACTTTTGTATAGCTTTTGGGTGCGTTGGATCAGTGCAGACAGCGGACAGCAGACACTTTCCCATGCACTGCAACCGTTTTGAGGGTAGGATATGGCTGGAAGAAAGCGTTGCCACACCCCTTAGATGTATCCTCAATATCTAACGTATCTACAGAAATCCTTCGCAGCTTTCCTTTGCAGCGTAGATCGCTCCTCTCTTAACTTCCTTTCTTCATAGGTTTCTTATAGATTCCAATTAACGTGCAGGAGCTTTTTTTTTCCTATAGGCAAATAGATGCGATACGATCGATTACCAATATTGAATTTAATTCAGAAATTTCCCATCATCTCTTGCGCGCAGATAGGGATCATAACTCAGGGTGGGTGAGGGGCAGGGGTAGTGGGGGAAGGAACCAATGAGAGTCAATTTGCTCGCTCCCGGACTATCCCACTTGGCCAGCCCCGCATCCAATCGCAGGCCCAAATGGATGAGCAACAGAGTTTTATTTTTTTTTATTTTTTGTAATTAAATGGCCAACTTTGTCGTAGCCAACGATGGCGTGAAGATACCGCCATACGGCCAAACGGCCATACAGCCATACCGCCATGCCATACGCGATGCAGATGGAGGATAGCAGATTGATTGTGGCCAATATAAAATATTGATTTATGCTTCTTGGAGGCTTTCCTGGGGCATCAATCAATTTTCAAGTTGAGTGGAGCGCCAAGCCCACACGAGCCCACGCCCCAAGCACCCAACGAAACATGAGACGAGTTCCAGGTTGGCCTGTCTCTCTCTCTCTCTCTCTCTCTCTCCCTCCGTCTCTGTCCCTGGTTGGCAACGGTTGACAACCTCGGTGGTGGTAGTGGTGCTATTGGTACTCGTAGATGCCCCCAGATCCCTCCTCCTGCTCTCTTCTATATACATATAAGCATCACTATGCATCGCTGGGGGTGTGATGGGCCAGCGCAACAACTTCACACGCACGTTAATCATACGCCGCATTGACCGCAAAGCATTTACGATACCCCAAAAAAAAAAATAAACCCTTTTTATTTTTTGGGGCTTCACCAAATGGCAAACAAAATCTGATTGATTTATAACTGAAGTCTGGAGTCCGAGGGAAAAATGGGAAAATAAAATAAAAAAAAATAAAATCCCCGAACGAGCGTAGAGGAACTTGCTCTCTGGCGGCAGCGGCAGCGGCGGCGGCTTAATGATGATAAATGATGATGTTATGATTTGTTAATTTTTCTTCAAGTCCCTCTTCAGGTTCGTCTCGCTTTTATTGCGTGTTGTGCCCCCAGTGGTCGCCTGTTGCCAGTTACCATCAACCCGAAACATGAGGCTCTTTCTTTTCGTATTTTTTTTTTGTTTTTTTTTTTTTTTCTGTTTTGGTCAGTTTAATGGCTCCACCGCCTCCACACCCTACAGTCTGGCGGCCGATCTGCCTCTAACGCTCTCTGGGGCGAAAGTGTAATTTTAAGTATGGGTTACAGAAACATAGAGAGATGTCTCTAACTGGCAAGTGATTTGTTGATCATTCATCTGTGCCTGTGCTTGGGCCTGTGCCTGGGCCTGTGCCTGTGGTGACTCTTCAAATGATTTCGTTTACAGATTTTCCACTGGAGGCCGCAGGCGCTCAAAGGCAGATGACACCAATGCTCGGACTTCCATCCACCTACCGATAAATAAGTTTCATTCCATCTGAAATTCATCAGCGTTGAAGCGTAGAACTCTGAAGCCTGTCAATTGAGCGTTTTTGTTAGTTGAGAGTCTGCCAGAATCCACAGCTTAAACAGCTCCTAATGAAATCATTTCAGAAGTGTCTTCCACTTGAGAAGGAGAATTATGTAGATCAGCAGCTCAGGCAGCTCAGGCAGATCAAGCAGCAGCAGCAGCAGCCACAGAAGTTCCCAGAATTGTGGGTCAACCGACACCACACCTATGGAGCGGAGAGAGAGAGACACTCCTAGTCCGAGCTCGAGTGGCACATAACCCCAGAGTGTTGTCACACATACTCGAACCGAATCGACTCGACTCGACTCCTACTGGGGGCATGGGCACGCTCCTTGGTCCTTGGAGTGTCTCAAGTGGGTACTCCCCTCACCCTCCTCGGTCCTCACTCCTCGCGGGTCGTGTAACCAGAGATCGTTCTAATTTTGATCAAAGCTATAAATAATCGGTTTGGTTGCACAAGAGCCACTTGACTTGACATTGGGACATTTTCCATGGAAATGATGTTTTGATGTTGCGCGCCTTGGTGATCGCTGATCGCTGATCGCTAGCATGGCTCCTACACACACACACACACACAAAAGGGACAAAGCAAATTGAGTTGAGATTATCGCTCGCCCGGCGGCAGGACCTGCGCTAAGTAAGCGTGTCCAAAAAGGGTCCTGCCAGTGCCCAGTGCCCAGTGCCCAGTGCCCAGGTTAGATGATCGAACATGACTTAACTAGAAAATGTTTTATGTTTCATCGACCGATGTCTGGGCACTCTTTGGCACTCTTGGCACTTGGTATTTATTAGTTTTTACTTTTCACTTTTCATATTTCCCTCGTTCTTTGTGCTCGCTCTCTCGTTTGGGGGGTGTAGGCCGGGGGGCGTGTTTGACATGGTCATCGGTGATTATAAATTTCGGTTTTGTCTTGCGGTCGAGCTCGGACTGCGACTGCGACTCCGACTCCCAGGTCCTGTGTGGGTTCTGTTCTCCCTTTTGTTTATCCGTGAGCATCGTTGCGGCATATGGCAGGGCTGGGCTGGACCGGGCTCGAGAGTCGGTGCGGGTGCGCATCTCAGTGGGAGAGAGAGAGAGAGAGAGAGAGTGACATGTGTTTAAAGGATAATCAGCTGGGCAACAGGATCGCAATCTCGATTGCCTTTTTGCCAAAAGATAAACTATGAAGATGGATTGCCATTTGCTGCGGTGATTGCCATAGTGGAGGAGAGCCTATGGTCTATAGGCGAAGAGAGGGTTCGGGGAGGAGGATAATTTCTTAATTTGCTGCTGGACTTACAGCAGATAGGAAGTAGTGTGTAGGCATCGATCGGTTATGAATGGCAATGAATGGAGATGATAAATGGCAGCTGCAAATAAATATGATAATTTATTGTTGGAGTGTGCTAATGGTAAGAGATTACACAACAGATTTAGCTAAGGGTTAAAGTATAACAGTGTTGCAAAATTACAGTGCTGAAAAATGGGAAAACAGAATTAAGGAATTAATTAAAGCAATGGAATGAGCAATAAATAAAGAAATAAATCCCCAATAAAGGGCTAATATTATAATAAGCTACAATACAACAGTATTAGCCATTAATATAACACTGTAAGGTTATTCCAGTGCTGGAAAATGTCAGAGGTGAGAATATAATTAATGCGAAATATGGAATGGAAATGGAAATCGGAACAATTTGGGCTTACATTGATGGCATACCCGTATAGCAGATTTTAAAATATGAAACAAATTACTCGCACCATGAGTATAACAGTTGAGAGAACAGAAATGGTTTTGCACTTGTGATTCAAATGTGAAGTGAATTAATTAGTATGATGAATACCGATGAATCGATCGATTAGACATTCATGCGGCAAGGGGCTCGCGGGCGGCACGTGACCCAATCAATGCCGAGCACATTAGGCCGTGACAATCGTCAAGGATATATAAAGGATTATGGGGGGGAAAGAAACTCACACACACACATACATTCACATCGAAGTGGCCAACGAGCGAGCAACAAGGAGATGGGGCAGGACCTGCCAGGACTGGGACTGGGACAGGGACAGGACAGGGAACAACTCAATTGTTGGCGGCATCTGCGGCATACAAATTAAAATATTTATGTGTGTATTAGGACTAAGGACACACGTTAAGGACACAACACAACAGCAACAGCAGCAGCAGCAGCAGCAGGAGCAGGAGTAGGAGCAGCAGGAGCAGGAGCCAATGGAAAAGTGCGACATATGTGCAGTCAATAAATTTTCCACTTTTCATGCTGACAGCACAGAAAAGCGGTGGAAAAAGAAAACAACAACAACAACAGCAACAGCAATAGCAACAGCAACGACAACTCTCGAGCCGCTAATGGCTCCACAATGACCAGGCGTATTTTCCACAAACACACACGCATACAAACACACACACACACACACACACACACACATTCACTCAGTGTAGAGGAAAAGTCCTCGAGTAAATTGTTCCTTTTTCTGGTGCATTTAATTTGATTTTATTGTTCGCGCTCCGATTATTTGTTTGCGTCAAAACGAAACGATTGCTTTCGATTTGGTTGCGGCTTATCGATATATTTATGTGTGTGTGTGTGCCACGCCTACGCCCACACGCGTGTGTT